TTGGGTGCTTGAATTTTATGGGCAACATAACAAAAATGTTAAGATCTGGTGCTATTTCATCTAATGAAACTGAACAATGAGAGGCCATGGTTTGTTAGCTAAGCCACAGTTGACTGGGTCACACAATGCAGCAAGCCAAGAAGCTTGGTTTATAAATCAGGCTGGATGTGCATAATATGCTAAACCAGTCATACAATATCTTTTGGGGGAGAGGACTTATGGTGGGCTGACATGAAGGAAAAACAAATTACTTCCTTTATTCCTGGTCATAAGGACAGAACAAGGAGTATTTTAGCGTTGAGCAGCAAAATGTTGATTATCTTGCTGATCATTTTGCAGTTCCGCTAATTCAGTGGGATTCACATTCAAAGACCAAGAGGTTCAACATTAAGATTTTATTTCATGTCAATAGTGTGAAATAATAAAGTAATTATTAAGATTATTAATTTGGCATTATCTGTTGTCCTTAAAGAATAAATAAATAAAATTAGAATCAATGCAAAGATTTTGGGAAACCAACTCTGTGAAGAAGGAAGGAAAGAAGATTGATTTCAGAATTTCTTCAGTAATCTAAAATTGCTGCATCCCCAGCAGCATATAATCAGCTATTTGGTCACTTCTGTTTACAGTATTGTAAAATGGCATATATAACAGAAGGGGGAGCTCTTGTCTGATAGTCTGAAAGCTTCTATCACCAACAATACAGTATACAGAATGTTGGTAATTATTATTTTAAATCATATTTTACAATATAAATTGCAGTGTTTTATTTTTATATACTTTAATATATGTAGATTGTAAGTTTCTTGGAGGAAGATTTAATTCTACAAAATCATACATGTTGAAATAATCAAATCATTGCTAAAGGTTCTATGCCTTATTTTAATTTGATTGTTGTGGTATCAGTTCTGAATTAGGTTGTCAGCTGGTGATCTCAGCCTATTTTGAAATCCCAGTTAATCTCTATTCAAATAATAATTTTAATTTAAGTTCCTCTGCATCAAAGAGCTGGGTAGTTTGAATTTTTTCCTTTCAGCTGATATGGAGAGTGGAGCGAGCTGAGTATTATGATAAGAACAAAGGCATGTTCAAATTATGCAGTTAAGAAATTATGCTACAAAATTGCTGTACTTCAGTTGTCAATGACAAGTATTAAAATTTCAACATATTTTCCTGATGAAGATTTTCACATTTTTTATACAAAACAAGAAAGACTTTAAATAATATATTCATAAGTTAATTCCTACAGAAAGTCTGGTGAAGAGTCCATTAGACCTTATACCTTTAAAGTTTATATAAAGACTGTTCATATAGGTGTCTATTTTCTAAGAAATCAAATGATAAGAAAATCAAGAAACAAGAAAAAAAGGATACTGAAAGGTACCACCACTGAGAAGGTCATACTACATGGTCCCTGTAGATGCAACTTCTTTGGGGATAGGACCCTTGGCAAGATCTTTCTCCCAGATCTTACAATATGGGCAGATTCACTTTGGAGCAAGATGATGATGATGGTTGCACGGTCAGCCAGATGTTTAAACTGAATTTGGCATTTTATCCACCTATCAAGTCCTTCCCAAGGACCTGGGATAGGCAGATGTTGTTCGATGATGTTAAAGGTATCATTGCAAGATATAAGCTGTTCCAAGTAAAACTGCCTTTTGCAATTGACTGATGGTGATTTTGTCAATGCCGATGGTCTTCAGGTGGTGCTCCAGAT